TGTATATCACTTTCGATTGTGTATCTATATTATAGGTTTCTTTTTTTTTGTTTTTATTCTTGAATCTCTTTTTTTTAGTTCATTAATTGCTTCATTTTTTTTGTATTTATAAAATATTATTTTATATTTTGCTATTGGGAAAAATGAAATAAAAATGAATATTAGTGAAAATAAATAACCTGATTTTGTATATAAACAATATTAATTCCTTATAATTTTGTTGTTTGGCTGTATGAAAGATAAAGAGTGTAGCGCATGCTAGATGAATGCATGCACGCACGGAGCTGCAGGTAACAGGGCGAAGAACAACACAATCGTGCACAGCAAGTATGCAAACACACACACACACACGCAAACACACACACACACACAAACAAACACAAACACACACACATACACAAAGAACACACCCACAAAACACCCACAACACCAGCACACACAACACAAAGCACCCACAACACAAAGCACCCACAACACAAAGCACACACACACACACACACACACACACACACACACACACACACACACACACACACACACACACACACCTCGTCCCAGCATGGGAGGATGCGGCGGGCGTCGATGGCCTCGCACTGGGTGGTGACCATGACCTTCTCCTGGCCGTCAATGTCCTTGTACGAGGAGCGGTAGAACCCGGCCATCTGGTTGTTGTGCTCGCCAAGGTATTCAATGTGGATGCGGCCCTTGCCGAGCGGCACCTCCTTCTCAAACTGGATGGTCACCGTCTGCATCTTGGTGTCATAGTTGAAGCCGGTCGCTTCCGTGGAGAAGCCCTTCTCGCCCTCGGACTTGAAGGTGGCAGACTGGATGTACAGCTCGCGCGAGTGCAGCTGCACGCTGTTCACGGACTTCTGCACGTCGACGTGGATGTCGACGGACGCCTCGAAGATGAACTTCACCAGGTTCGGCGTGATGGTCACATCATAGTGCTTCGGCACAAAGTCCTGCGGCAGCAGAACACGCTCGGCCTTGACCTTCGCAGACATGGTGGCTGTGGGTGTGAGGTGGGGTTGGAGTGTGTTTGCTTGTGTCTGACAGAATCGGTGGACAGAAGCAGAAAGTCGTCGCAGTTGGCAGTGGAAACTGTGTGTTTGTGCAACTGAAAAAAGCAACAGGAGCGCAAGCAATGCAAAGGCAAAATTGACCTCAAGTTGGCTTTTGTGTTGTGTCAACCCTCGTGCATCGACCACGATGATGGCAAAACATGTAAGCGACCATCCACTGCACCCTGCACAGCTGCACCCTAGTAGTACAGTACACCCTTCACCCTGCACATTACACCCTACACCCTAGTACAGTACACCCTACACCCTGTACCTTGAACCCTACATCCCCTTCTGTGCTCATGGGTGTTTCATGCCCTTGCCACTTGTTGGTTGTTGTGCTTGCTTGCTGCCTTGCTGCAGCTTTCGTCGTGGCTTGCAGAATTGCTCGAAAGCCCGTTTCGCACAGCGGTGCGCTGTGAGCTCATGTCCAAGATCACAAACTCAGAGCTGGAGCTGGAGCTGGAGCTCGACGACCCCTCCGTGTCTGTGCACAAACCCCAGCACCCTGATATGCCGCTACCACAGACGAGCACTGAGCTGCGTGAATCTGTTGAGGAACTTCTCCAGCGCGTGTGCTTGGATCGGCACAAGCAAGTGGTCCTGACACCATCGCAGCGCACCGTCCTCAACGACATCGTCACGCACGTTTTTGACGTCGTCAGTGGCAACAAAGGTGCCAGCAACAAGGGCGCTGGTCGCCTGGTCGTCGGACCAAAGGGCACGGGCAAGACGACGCTGCTGCTGCTGTTGGAGAAGCTCCTGAACATGCTGCTGCCGGCCTCTGTCGTCGTCTTCTACGCCTCTGCACAAACGCACCGTGACCTGTACAAACTGCTCCACAAGGCAATCAAGGAGCGCACGGGACTCTCCATGGAGCTTCCTGAGGACACGTCTCCATCCGACGCCCCAGGTCACTTTGCCAGATGGCTCAAAGCGAACAAGATCAAAGTGGTGGGCCTCATCGACGAGTACCAGGCCGTCTACACCTTTGACGAGGATCGCTGGTGGATCATCGCCATGCATGTCTTCGGGCAGTTTGCTGCGCGCTACACGTTTGTGCTCACCGGCAGCTCTGCTCACCTCCGCGGCCTGTGCTTCGACAAAGCGCCGAAACCGCCCAATTCCGCTGCTACAAGCGTGGCCTCCCCAACCTCAACTGGCAGCGCTACACCACTCTCGTGCTGTCGCCCATCCTGACCAAGCACGGGCTGCGCGATGTTGTTGACCACCTCGGCATGCTGCCCATGGCAAGGTTCATACGTGTTGATGGCGATGACAACGATGACACCTCTGTTCAGGACGAGGCGCTGCTCCGATTCATCTTCATGCAGACCGCCGGGCTCATGCGCAACATCACCAGCCTGATTCCTGCAATGCAGCGCATGGTTGAAGACTCCCTGACACCCGTCCTCCAGGCCTGCTGCGCCATTGACGACGAGGCTCTCGTTGCAACAGCGCGTGAGGTTTGTGGCGTGGTGCGCAATGCAGAGAGCAGCCTACAGGACAAGGCATCTGCGCTTTTGCGTCTGATCGAGACTGCAGAGGAAGCGGGTGCTACCGTGGAGCGGCCCGTGTACAGCAGTGATGTGCACCAGACCTTCGACGACACCTTTGTGGCTCGTCACCTCACCAAGCACAGCCGCCTGCTGCATGCCATGGCAGAGTGCCTGGTGCGGCACGCTGAGGAAAGACGATGGGCTGCGCTGGCCGATGACCCGTGGGCGCTCGTGACGGCACTCCCTGCTGTGGACCTCGAGGCCGAGGGCTTCGGGCCAAGTGACTTGTACCAGGCTGCAGAAGACGGGGCCGTGGTGTACGGAATGGAGGAGCACATGATCTCCTTTGCCTCGCCGGCCCTGGCGCTTGCCATCTTGGAGGACCGCGCCAAACGAATTGGTGGCGCCAGGGCGCGATGCTGCATTGCGGACTGGTAGAAGGGAGAAACTCTGCTGCAGGCTTCTCAAGGTCGTTCGACGTGGCTTTCAAGGTCAAGCACACACGTGAGTGCGAAGTGTCAGAAGCGAAGACGATTGCACCCGAGCTGGTGGGCAAGGAGCATTGAGGAGCAGCTGATGTGAGAGTGAAGTTCTCGCAGAGTGCCACCTGTGTGTGTGTGTGTGCGTGTGCCACCTCTGTGTGTGTGTGTGTGTGTGAGTACTTGCTGGTTGCGCAGATCTCGTCTTGCTGTCGTGCACGCTTTAACTTATTGTTTACAGCGACGCTGCTGTTCAGAAGACGTCGCAAATCGCAAGGCACAAATGACTTCTCACATGTGCTGTCAAGCTGTGAAGCGACCACCGCGAAGGAGAGCAAGAAGGGGTGCGCTTGATGGCCGAGGACTAGCTTGCTCTTGCGCTTGCTCTTCTTACCGGCCACGCACGACAGTGAGCGTGTGTGTCTATGAACAAGGTTGTGTACAGGGATCTGTGCGATCAGGGGCACGTTCTCAGGTGGTCTGGTCGATGCATGCCTGGCGCCTAATCTTGGTGCACTCACAAGTGTGATTGAGCGCGCGCGCGCGTGTGTGTTGGATTGGCTCCTGCTTGCTTTCTTTATTTATGGCCCTTTCTTTCTTTCTCGGTCGCTGCTCGGTCGCTCCGCTTTGTGTTCTGTGTGTTCTGCATCTGCCCGACTTGTGTCATCCACCCTTTGCGTGAGAGCCATGCCATGGTATGATATCGTTTTCGTGTCACGAGTCATTATGTCCAGTACACAGCACATTCCTTCGAGATATAAGGACAAGCACATACAAGCAAAGCAGCACACAACACACATACACATCCCACAAGTACACCCCTTGCAAGTCACCGGTGATGGACACGTTCACACATCACACAAGTACACCCCTTGCAAGTCACCGGTGCTGCACACGTTCGCATCTTTCCTGTCGTGTTGCTGCTTCGCACATGTGTTCTCAACACACACACACACCAACACACACACACACACACACACACACACACACACTACAAACACCCACACACTCACTACAAACACACACACACACACACACAAACACACACACACACACACACACACACACAAGATCTCTCTCTCTCTCTCGCCCTCGCTCACCAAAACACCCTACGCTCCTCCTTTTTCATCCCCTTCCTCAGCACGGCCATCATTTCTTCTGGTGCTCGGTTCACCAGCACCACATCCGGCCACGACCACATCCGGTCAAGACTGATGCAGTCGCGCACCACCAGGCAGCTAACCGACGTCAGCGCGCTCAGGTCATCAAACGCACAACAACTCAGTATGAGGCACTGGACGTTGCGGAAGCAGGAGAATTCCACGATGCTGCAGTAGTGGAGTCGACACGTGGACACGCGTTGTATGTGCTGGACATGTAGCGGAAACACCCTCACCTTCTCAAAGCGAAACTTTGGCTTTCTGGCAATGACGGTGGCCTGCTCCAGCCACAGCCATGTGATTCCACTCAAGACAGCAGTGCCCTCACAAGCTATAAGCGACACGTGGTTGCAGTCGCTGATCTCGCCATCAAGCGTCACGCCCCACATGCGAAGCTGCCTCCGCCCACGCAGGGCATCCACGTCGCGCAGGCGATGGTGGATGAGGGAAAGCAGCGGGACGTTGGCCAAGCACGTGCCGGAAGCGCGTTCGAAACGAAGGGCGTCACGCGGAATCGCGCCGGTTTCGCACCTGCGAAGAATTGTGCGGCCATTTGCAGACAGCTCCTTCACGCATGGCGGCAGCACGTTCCCGGTCAGAGGGGTGCGGACGTCGTCCAAGCACACGTGCACGTTGTCTGGCATATGCAGCAGGTCGCCCAAGGGGTCGCCGGCACCGGTGTGCAGCATGCGTGCGTTGCGAATTACCAGCTTGTCGATGCGGTGTGCCACGCCAGACAGGTCGACCTCTTCATTGCAGTCGAGATCCAGCACTCGCGCGCGCTCAAACTGTGGAATCTTTGGGTCCCTGCTTTCAATCGCGATCGTGTCGAGGTGTGGTGGAAGCACAAACTCCACATCCATGTTCCAGGCTCCCTGCGTCAGCCAGAAGTGGGTGGCGTTGGGAAGATGAACGCGAGCCGGCATCTCGCGCGTCAGCGTAATGCGCTTGGTGTTGAGCGTGTCAATCTCCAGTGGCGCTTGGTGCATATGAAGCTCCTCCACATCTGCAAGCACAGACTGGTCGTCCAAAGTCGCACGGTCAAGTACCAGCGTGCGGATGCCAGCAAGCGGTGTCAGGTCCGCGTGTTGGTCTGAAATCCTCATGCAGTGCAAGCCGGCGAACAGTGCAAAGCCATTGCGCTCGATGCCGTGATAAAAGTTGATGCCGCCGACGTTGGACACTTCGCCTTGGAGGGTAGTTTGCTCGGGCGATATATGGAGCCATCGGATATGCCCAATGTCGCGAAAAGTGACGCTTTCCACCTTATGGCGCATGTACTGCAAGACAAGCGTGTTTGCGTTGCACACAGTCAGGGAGGCCAGCGGTGCTGTGGTTGTGACGTCCAATTTCTCTGCACGCGCACCACCCAACGCTGTGGAACGCAGCTCGTTGAAGCGGTCCACATCTGCTTGGCTGTTGAACTCAACCGTGGCATAAAACAGACCGGGGTGTGGCTGTTGTTGTTGTTGTTGTTGTTGTTGTTGTTGTTGTTGTTGTTGTTGTTGTTGTTGTTGTTGTTGCTGCGTCTCCTCTTCCACTTTGTTGTTGTTGTTGTTGTTGTTGTTGTTGCTGCTGCTTCTCTTCCTCCTTCCTCTGCGCCTTCCTTCCTCTGCCTCCTCCTGCGCCTCTGCGCCTTCCTCCCACCCCTCTCCTGTCGCTGCCCTGCACGTCCTGCGCTCACTGCAGCAGCCCATGCTTCGATGTCGCGCATGTGTTTGAATATGGTGCGTCCGTGCTGAGCAAACTGCTGCCAAAAGTCGTCGGTCGAGGGTCGAATGCTTTTCAGCCGCGCTTGCAAAAAGGGGAGGGTGCTGGCCCAGGTCACGCCGAGCCGGGAGTAGGCAAGGAAGCGGTTCTCCATCCACACCGTGATGCTGTCACTATCGCCACTGCCGCCACTGTCCTCGCTGGTGGTGTCATCAGGGGTTCTTCGCACCCGCAGCGGTGGGAGGAGCGCGGCTTGGAAGGTGTCGAGCCAATCTAACACGGTGGGGTAAGGGTCGTCGTCAAATCCCAAGTTGGAATATGCGGGCACGGAGCCCTGTGCGCCAAAGTGGCTTGGGCGCTCCGCAGTCATGTACCTGGGCTTCTTGTTGCTGACGGCCTGTGCGATCACTTTCGCAAGGTACCATTTGGGTACGGCCCAGGGCAGGTCATGGTACAGCTCGCGGCAGGTGAACATGAGGTTGAGAAAAGCGCGTGCCTTGGCGCAATCTGCCTTGTGCCTCACGTCAAACTTCCTCAGCGTGCCCGACGCATCGTCGCCGTCTGGCATCGACATGACGCGCGCAGCCACCAGCTTCCAGCACTCCATGTTGTGTGTGTGTGTGTGTGTGTGTGTGTGTGTGTGTGTGTGTGTGTGTGTGTGTGTGTGTGTGTGTGTGTGTGTGTGTGTGTGTGTGTGTGTGTGTGTGTGCGTGCGTGCGTGCGTGTGTGTGTGTGTGTTTGTGTGTGTGTGTGTGTGTGTGTGTGTGTGTGTGTGTGTGTGTGGTGTGTGTGTATTGGGTTGCATGGGCTGTACATATTGTGTTCTGTTGTGCCTTTTGCGTGCTTTCAGGTGGATACTTTTTGCTTTTCTCCCCACTCCTCACGGTATTTGTGACCCACAACACACATGTTGCGTTGTTCAAGTGCCTGGCGCAGGTTAGCAGGTTTGGAGAGACCCCAAGGACCACCACGTTACTGAATTGCTTGTGTGTTGTTGGTGGGAGGGCAAGGACGCGTTCATGGTGTGTGCCTGTGTACCTTCTGTCGCGCATTCTTTCGTGTTGTTCATTGCTGGCACCAGCACCATAAATCATGCCTGACGACCCCTTGATGGCACCTCCTTGATTGCGTGCGTATCAAAGTTCCTTCAACACTTCGTGTTGTGGTGACAATACAATGGTGGCTATGCATCAGCTTGCGCTCAGCACATCAGGTCAGCACTGTTCCATGTACCCAGAGTGGAAAAGTGCAAGTCAGCACACAGAGAGGAGATCAAGAACACTGGGTCGCCTGCACTCGATGAGCTGCTGGGCTGGTGTGTGGCATTCATCATACCCATGCATTTATGCTTGAGCTTGCCGATGCGTCGACTGCCCACTCGAGTGAGTGAGCACGTCAGAGATCCTGAGATCAAGAGTGAATGTTTGATCTATGTAGTGATCTGTTGATTGACCATGATATGAGCGATGATGACCTTGTTGCATGTCTCATTTCGTCCAACTAGCGTATTCTCGACCGCAGCTTTCTCAAACGAGGGCAAAGTCTTCCTGCCACCACCAAGAAGAAGACTTTACACACCATCAACGCCAGGATCATAAGATCACAGTCACACACACAGACCCTCGCTGACAACAGGCTAGTCTTTAAAGTCCTCAGTCGTCGTTGCCATCAGGCCATCAGGTGGGAGGGGGCGTTGCCCAACCAACTGAACACTCACCACGCCCCTTTCAATTATTTCTTCGTGACATTGCGTTTACGTCGTTTCCCATGTACTCGCTTTTGCGCGTTTTGGCTCTGCGCTGCACACTCCGGCGTGCAGCGCATTTTGTTTGTTTGCCTGTGCACATGCTTGGTGACGCACTTGCGCTCTTGCAAACAGACACAGCAGACACAGCGTGCGTTCATTTTACTTCACGCCTCACTTCACCCTCACACCGCCACACCCCACTGTGTCTGCAACCGTCAGCACAGCAAACGAGCAAAGATGGGCTGCCACCAGAGCAAGCTGGCGATGCATGAGGAGCTGGCCGAGGAGCGCGCAAATGCGAGCGGGAACGCAACAGCGAGCGCAAACACTGCAACCAAGAACACTGACACCAAACAACAAGAGCCATTGCTCCCCGTGTTGTGGGATGGTGTGTCGCGATCAAAACGTGGCCAGTGGCAGCAGCGCCTGGCCGATGCTGCGCGTGCCAAGCTGGATCCCTGTGAGCGACCAGCTGAGACACTGAAGCGTGTTTTGGAAGGCGACGCACTTCCCGACAGCGAGATCCAGACACTGGGCACGCGACAGCCGGCCATCCGCCTGTTCCTCTCCTCCACGTTCACTGACACGGAGGTGGAGCGCAACGCCTTGATCGAGGACGTGTATCCGTACCTCAAGTCCCTCGGACAACGCCTGCGTGTGCAAGTTTACCAGTCCTCCGAGATGCGCTGGGGCATTCGTTCTGAGGCCTCTGCCGCCCACGAAACCAGCGAGGTGTGTGTGTATGTGTGTGTGTGTGTGTGTGTGCGTGTGTGTGTGCGTGTGTGTGTGTGTGTGTGTGTGTGTGTGTGTGTGTGTGTGTGTATGTGTGTGTGTGTGTGTGTGTGTATGTGTGTGTGTGTGTGTGTGTGTGTGTGTGTGAGGTGGTTGCAGCTTGCAATCCGATAATCCCTTCCCACTCTCAATCTGAGCTTCAACGCGCACACTGACCACCCCACATCCCTCCCCCTCCCACACTCACTCGTTTCATAGATCTGCATGCGGGAGATCAAGAGGTGCCAGCAAGAATCGAGCGGCATCAGCTATGTGCTCATCCTTGGCAACAAGTATGGCTTCCGCCCCTTTCCCGCCAAGATCCCTGAGGAGGAGTTCAACCTGCTGAAGGACGAGATGGCCAAGCAAGCCAAGCAAACTGCGTCCACTGTGACCCCAGCTGCGCTCAACAAGGCCATGGAGTACATGGACGAGTGGTTCGTCCTGAATGAGAACGTCGTGCCGCCGACCCGCGAGCTCACGCCCGTGAAGAAGGAGCACTCTGATGCGTGGTGGTCCGACATCTTCCCTACGCTGCAGACGTGTCTGCGCCAGGCGGCAACGGGAGCGCCTGGGCTGTCTGATGAGCGACGCGCCCTGTACGTGCAGAGCGTGACGGCGGAGGAGATTGAGAACGGCCTGTTCAAGGTGGAGCCGAAAGAGGCGCGCGACAAGGCGTGCTTCGTCTTTGACCGGCGCCTGGAGGGCATCGACGTTGCATTGGACCCAGACACGGCTAAGCTGTTCATCGACATGGCTGGTGGCGAGGTGGACGAGGAGGCGCAGCAGCAGCTGGAGCGATCGCGTGCGGAGGCGGTGCCGGCTGCCCTGTCACCATCTCGCATCAAGACCATGACCATCCCATGGGGACCAGGCATCGACCTCGCTCGCACCGACCACGCAGAGTACATGCGCACCTTTGCCGACGCCTTCTGCGACACGCTGGCGACGGACATTGAGCGTGTTGCGCGCGAGCACGCGTTTGAGAGCGATACAGTGGTGGAGGAGGCGGCGGCGCACGCCATGTTCGGCAACCTGCGGCGACGTGGGTTCGTGTCCACAGCAGCCACCCAGCAGACGGTTGATGCTGCCCTTGCACACGTGCAACAACGCATTACCGGTGGCAAGGAGGTCGCAGCTCCGTTTGCCATCTGTGGCCCATCTGGCAGTGGCAAGACTTCACTCATGGCCCATATCGCAGGTGCGTTGTGTGTGTGCGTGCATGCGAATGTCTCTTGTTGTGCTTGCCTTCATGCATGTCCTCATTGTGGGATGCGCTCTGCTTTCCTCTGTCCCATCACATGCTCACACACACACACACACACAAACGCACACATACACACACACGCCATACGCTCACACACTAGGTGCCATCAAAAAAGCCCACCCAGCTGCCGTCGTGGTGTCGCGGTTCCTGGGCACGTCGCGGGAGAGTGGCACTGCCCGCACCCTGATGGCCAACGTGTACCGCCATATCCACCGCGCACTCAAAGGAAAGAAGCCAGCAGCAGCGCCAGCAGCCGACTTTGAAAAGCTGACAGAACAGTTCCAGGCCGCCCTCAAGCTTGGCACTGCTCGCAAACCGCTGGTGCTCGTGCTGGACTCGCTTGACCAGCTCTCGGACGAGGACCAGGGCCGTAACCTGGAGTGGCTGCCGCTCGCATCACTGCCGCCAAACTGCGCCATCGTCGTCTCCAGTTTGCCGGATGTGGGCGGATGCTGGGAGGTGCTCAAGGCCTCGCTGCCAGACACCAACCAGCAGCACGTGGCCAAGATCAGCAAAGACGACGCAGACGGCATCCTGAGCACATGGCTGGCCGATGCCAAGCGGTCCCTCATCCCTGCACAGCGCAGTGTTGTGCTGGGCGCCTACGAGTCCTGCCCAACACCGCTGTACCTCCGCATCTGCACGCAGTTCTTTGCGCTTCGCTGGACCCACAAAGACGCAATTGCACCCGACTTCTTTCCCAAGACGGTGGAGGGCCTGATGGAGAAGGTGTTTGATGAGCTGGAGACGCGACACGGCAAGGAGACGGTGCGGGCAGCGCTCGGGTACCTCTCTGCCTCGCGCGGCGGGCTGAGCGACAACGAGATGGAGGATCTGCTGTCCTGCAACGACACCGTCCTGGACGAGATTTACGAGTGGTGGGTGCCGCCCGTCCGCCGCGTTCCCCCGCTCATCTGGGCACGCATCGTGTCTGACCTGGAGGGCGCGTTGGTGGAGCGTGGCGCTGAGGGCGGTGTCATCATCCGTGCACGGTACCACCGGCAGCACCGCGAGGCAGCAGAGCGACGCTACCTCGGCCTCAACTCGCGCAGTGGTGCTGGAAATGACACGGGTGATGGTAGCGACGGTAACGGTGATGGTGCTGGTGACGTCGCCACGTCCTCGTCCTCGTCCACGACCGCTACCTCCACTTCCACCACCACCACCACGGCCCTGACGGTGCAGCGGCACGGCGAGCTTGCAGACTACTTCAGCGGCAGGTGGGAGCACGGCCGCCACCTGCACGACAAGACGGACGACGCAAGTGCTCTGCGCGACCGCAAAGTGGCCTCCATGAAGACGGTGCTGGCTGGTCGGCTCGATGACCCGCGCTCCGGTGCTGTGGTCAACGCACGCAAGGTTGCCGTGCTGCCGTTCCACCTCATGCATGCGCAGCGGTGGGAGGAGTGCGCGACAACCCTGTGCGACCTCGAGTTCATTGAGGCCAAGGCAACAGCGGGGATGGTGCGGCAGCTGGTGGCAGACTTTGAAGACCTGCAGCGCAGTGGTGGTGGTGGTCGTCGTCAAGGTGGCGCACTGGAGAGCCTGCTCAAGAAACACAGTTTCAACATCTGGACGCGGTTTGTGGCTCGCAACGCCAACATCTTCGAGCGTACACCTGGTGCAGTCATCGCACGCGCCTCGCTGTATCCAGACCAGACAGCGGTGTTCAAGGCGGCTGAAACTGTGTTGTCAGCGCCAGGTTGCCGCCTACCACGCGTGCGCCAGTTTGAAAAACCGCAACAGTTGAGCTCGCTCGCAACCGTGTGCTCCGGGTTTTCGTTTCCGCCAAAGGGCATTGCTTTCACTCGCAATGGCAAGTGGGTGTGCGCCGGCGTGGGCAGCAAGCTTCGCGCGTGGGATGCCAATACTGGCAAATCAGTTCTGACACTCAGCATGCCAGGTCAACTGGAATATGTGTGCCGCGTCGTGCAGCTGCCAAACGGCCATGTGGCGACGGCGTGTTCGTCTGGGCAGATTCACGTGTGGAACCTCTCGACTCGCGAGCTGGTGTGGACCGTGGAAGTGGCGCAGGCAGAGGAAGAGTTCCGCTCATTGTATGTACCAGGTGATGATTTGACAGTCCTCGTCATCGTTGGGCCGAAACCGCAGCCGTCTTCTTCTCAGACCGCACAGCCGACCAGCACGACCACCACTGACCCACGCCGTGTTCACCTGATGCTGTACACACCGGACCTGCGCCAGTGCGTGTGGCGACATGAGATGGACGACACTGTCTTGTCTTGGCAGCTGCGGGACAACACACTTGTGGCGGGAACCAATGACGGTCGCATTGTGTGGTGGAAGTTGGGCGGCGCGCCGACCATGGCAGCCGCTGTGCAGGCCATCATGGACCCTATTGAAGGGACGTTGGTGGAGGTGGCAAGCTACGCATTTCTCGTCAAGGAACGAGAGTTGCCATTGCGCCATTTGCCCATGAGTCTGGTCTCTGGCGGACTTGATGTTGTTGCTGCTGGACGATTCCGAATGCTGTCATACATCAAGGCAGATGGCTCACTTTCAGTGGAGCGACAATTCGAGCATGAAATCTCGGCTATTCGTGTTGTGGCAGGCGGCGGCGCGCTGCTGGCCCTCGCTCGCGGCATGTTCGGCATCACCGTTATCAGGGCTGACACGCTGGAGGCTGTGCATCGAATTCAAGCGCCTGCTAACCGAATCATGGCAGCGACACCTTCTGGCGACCTCCTCGCTTGCTCCGACTTGCAGCAGCCGTTTGTGGCCGTTTACAGCTTGGAGCAGGTCGATGTGCATGCCAAGGCCTTGACTGATCGAGGGCATCAACAACAGTCACTGATTTCCGAGCCACATGTGGCAATGCTGGCTGCAGATGGCGCAAGTGGGGCGGGCGAGAAGGAGACTTTACCTGCATTTGCTGTTGGACGCGACGACCTCGGCTTTTACGACGCAGCGACGATGGCGCTTGTACACACTGTTGCGCTCAAGGAGCACCGGGCGAGTGCCCTGAACGTCAAAGCCGCATCATTGTTTGGTCCATGGCGCAGCCATTTATCGTCCTCGACGCCGTGCGGCGCAAGATGTACAAGGACGTCATCACATTCCGCGAGATTAAGAATACTGTGGTACCCCCGAGGATGTTGTTCTCTCCAACAAACGACACATCTGTTGTGGTGGACTGCATGAGCTCCATGCATGTTGTGGCCCTGCCGACATGCAAGTTGGTGTGTAGCCACGGGGTCTGACGACAAGACTGCATGCCTGTGGGAGCTGACGGCTGACTCTGAAGGTGTCCTCACAGCGTGCGAGATGCTGAGAGGCCGTGACGGCGGTGCTGCTGTGCACAACGACCAGCGATGATGGTGGCGATGGTGCGGCTGTTCTTGCCACCTGTGACGGCAACACAATTGTCAAGTTGTGGAGATTGCAGCAAGAAGAGCACCCTTACGTGAGTATCAAGGTGCACAGCGGATATGCATCGTCTGTGTCGCTGGTGTGGTTGCCAAAGCAGCAGTTGCTGGCGTCTTGTGCACAAGAACAGCATCTCCTGTTGTGGAACCTGGCCGGTGAGCTTGTGCGAGCAACCAACCTCAAGCCTGCGTGGGCATTTCTGCATCCGAGCTTGAAGTATGTTGTCGCTGAAGCTTATGGTGGCTTGCAGTTTCTCCACGCAAGCACGCTTGCACCTGTGTTTCGCGCATACGGGCATGACTTTGGTCTGGAAATCAATACGCGGAACAAACGTGTGCGAATGACGCCCGACGGGCGCTTCTTTGTTTCTTGGGCCATGGACGATGCCATCCTCGTGCATGACTTCTCGCATCTGACGTTGTGAGAGAGTTATGTGCGTGCGTGCGTGTGTGTGTGTGTGTGTGTGTGTGTGTGTGTGTGTGTGTGTGTGTGTGTGTGTGTGTGTGTGTGTGTGTGTGTGTGTGTGTGTGTGTGTGTGTGTGTGTGTGTGTGTGTGTGTGTGTGTGTGTGTGTGTGTGTGGGTGTGCAATGGCTTTCCCTTTGATAGAAGCCGTGCATCCATGAGTGGTTGTTGTGATGGAGGTGGCGTGACTGGCGAACGGTGATGCAGTTGGTTGCACATACACGTTGGAGATGAACACGGGCAAAGCAAACAACACAAAAAAGGGGGCTGGAATGATGATGCTAGGTGATGCAACAAGAAAACGGAGAGCTGAGCACAAGACATGAGCGCACACGCATACACGCACAGAAACAGATGCAGATGCAACTGAAAGGGTGCAGGACGTGTTGTGCCAACAGCAGAAGAAAGGGAAAGGCACAGCAGGGTAATGGTCCGTGTGCAGGGTGAGGTGCCGTCAACAAGAGTTGAAATGTAGCTGCGATCCGGCAAACAGCATCGATATTGACCAGCTCAGCGCACTGGGTCGATGACGAGCACAGACTCGGCGTTGGCGGGCGGACTGCAGTGGACAAGGCCATTCCACAACAAGCAAGCACGCCTCCTGATGCTCGTCGTTGATGTTGCGGTTTGATGCAAGCACGCCGCCAGACCACTGCACTGCAATCGCTGCGTGTGGAGCTGTGTTGATGGCAAGCATCAGGAGGCATCGTCGAACGATCTGCTGGCTGGGACATTGTAGTTGAGGTCGTTGAATGCCTGTGAGGTCGCCTCCCGCACCACGAGTGCCAGAGGATGTGCTCCGTGGGATGTAGCCGTAGTGGATGATGCCCTTTTCAGCTGGCATGCTTCATCAGGCAGCTGTGTTGGTGGTTCTTGGATCAATCGAGGATAGTGGATAGGGTGTTGCAGTCGCTGATGAGGGTATTGTCCTTGTTTGAAACAAGAGGCGATGAGCAGCATGTAGATGGGGTCGCTGCTCGCTGGAACTGTTCAAACAGGGGTGGATGGAAGGGATCGACGATGAGCACAGATGCACGTCTCTGCGCACAGATCAAGCGGGTGTTCTCTTGTTGTTGTTGTTGTTGTAGGCCATTGCAACACCACCCATGCCATATTGTCAATCCCTGTGGTTTGCTGAGGTAATGCACGTCACTTGCCGCTTCAACGTGTCACACGATGGTGCGTTGTGTCTAAGAGGCGTCCTCACCATTGGTTGATTGATGCTACTGCACCATATGTGCTCCATTCTCTGCTGCACTGGTGCAAGCACACGCTGTTCACGTCGATCCTGCCCGTTGACTGACTTGAGTCCATCAGTGGGGATGACTGGTGTTGATGTGTTGATGTGTTGATGTGTTGATGTGGAAGGGAAGGTGTCAACCTTGTGTCAACCAGAGCTGTGATCCTTCCCCATCAATCGCCTCGCTCGCTTTCTCTTGCACGACACATGATCCTGCCACCACTGTGGTGCACCTGTTTGTGTCTGTGGCAAGAGTCATCAGTGCAGCAAACGAGGAGGAAGGCGAGGAAGAGCTCAGATGGCGTCCACATGCATCCAAGCAAGCGACAGAGCGAGCAAGCGCTGGCTGGCTGGCTTGTTGCGGCAGTGGAGAGTGTGGTGCGACAGCACAACAATAACTGCTGTGGTGTATTGTGTATTGTTGTGTTGGTTTATCTTTTCTCTGTGCTGCAGGGCTGGAAAGTGTTTCCAAATCGGGTGGCAGGTGTTGCCAGAAACGCAAGGATTTTCCTTCTCTGTCAACATGGCAAGCAAAAAAGGAAGCAAACAGCGTGGGGTGTGTTGTCAATGTGAGCGCCACTTTTCGCCAACAAGAAGCAAAGGACAGAAAACGAGCAAGCACACTGCGTGGATGGTATGGTTTGTGGATGCGATCACAAAGAAGAAGGCCTTCCTCGCGTACACGCAAGCCAGCAAGCAAGCAAGCAGCTCGTCGTCGTTGTGGTACAACAAGAGGGACAGCTGCTGTGCGTGTATTATTGATCTGTTGCACAAGCAGTGGCAGCCACTCCACGATGCAGTGGGCAATGGAACCGTGCTCTTTGTGTCGCCCACACACAAGGTGGTTCACGAAGATGACACAAGTGCTGGACGTGTTCAGCGTGCTGTTGCTTTGAGAGTTTGCACATGAAGAAGGGGCAGGCATAGGCAACAGCAAAGTGTGCGTGTGTGTGTGTGTGTGTGTGTGTGTGTGTGTGTGTGTGTGTGTGTGTGTGTGTGTGTGTGTGTGTGTGTGTGTGTGGAAAGACAGTGCGTATGCAATAGACACTCCACTCACTCTACTGACCGCTTCCACCCACCACTGCCTTCGAATCCGATCTGACCACCTTTTCCACCACCCTGCTGCTATCAGGAAGCATCTGCCACAAGAACTACCCTTCTCCCCGACTCCCATGCAAGCACCTGCTCAACGCCTCAACCCCCCCCCCCCATGCGCACACAATGTAAGCCGGCTGCAGTCACGTCCCCGTTCATCACTTTTATTCCTCCTCAATCACACGCACGCGCACACTCATGCACTTGCACACTGACACGCACACATGTGACATTGCTGCCACCACCTGCAGTCATACAGCGTGGGCGGCCACAGGAGAGCAGGCTGGGAATGAGCGTGGCTGAAGTGGGCGAGGAAGAGGACAAGGAGCTCGTGCACGAAGCAGAGGACATGGCAGAGAGGGTGTGCATCCACAGCAATCACAACAGCGCCACCACAATGAACGCGGCACCACTGCTGCAGCTACTGCTTGGGGCGGCATCAGGGCCATTCCCACCAGCACTGCCTGCGCCTGTACATGGGCCAGCAGCGCCACCGTCCTTGTCGCATGCCATGATGCCGACGTTGTCAACGACACCAATCATCACAAGCACATTGCCGCCGCTGCAGCGGGATTGCAGTGCAGCTGCCAACACATGTCGACCTCATCCGCAGCAACGGCAACGACAGCAACAACAGCTGTGATGGCAGCAGAAGCAGCGGCAGCAGTAGGTCTTGTCCACCTTCCTTTCCTAACACGGTGCCGCCGTTACCTCATGTCTGCGGCGACGGCTACAGCGACAGCGCCACGGCCGTTCAGGGGCACCCTTCTGTCGCCTACTATCTTGATGCCATCACCATCGTCTTCCTAATCGTCGTCTTCTTGACCCCATCACGGTCATCAACAACAACGACTGAAGCAGCAGCGGCGTCACCAGCGACAAACACTGTTGCACCACCAGTATCGCTCTCAGCGTATGTAACGCTTGCAGACAGCTGGGGACGGATGAGATTCACACGCTCGGCTGTCGGTAAGCTATGCACATACCAGTATTGTGGTGTTTGGGGTGTGTTCAGCGCATGCTCGATGGCACAGTGATGTGTTCACTCACCCCTGTGTTTGTGTGCGTGTGTGTGTGTGTGTGCGTGTGGATGTGTGTATGTATGTATGTATGTATTGGTATGTATGTATGTATGTATGTATGTATGTGTGTATGTATGTATGTATGTATGTATGTATGTATGTATGTATGTATGTATGTATGTGTGTATGTATGTGTGGGTGTGTGCGTGCACGTCGTAGGCTGTGGCATCGAGGATTGGGCGGGCTTTTGAATCCAAGCGCGCTTCGGGGGCAGCGACGACGATGCTCGCAACCACTGACGGTTTGAAGTAGCAGACAGAAGGCGCTTCACTGCCCAGGTGTGTGTATGCACGTGTGTATGTGTATGCATGGGTGTGCGTGCATGTAGGTAGTTGTGTACATGAGTGTGTGTGTGTCTGTGTGTCTGTCTGTGTCTGTGTGTCTGTCTGTCTGTCTGTGTGTCTGTCTGTGTCTGTGTGTCTGTCTGTGTGTCTGTGCGTCTCTCTCTCTCTCTCTCTGTGAATCGCCACGCATGTGTACGCATGCAGTTCGTCTCCTTCACTTCCCTCATTCCCTCACGTCCTCGTCCGCGACGCACGCGCCTGCACTTGCATACAGCTTCAGCGCATTCCTTTCCTGCGCCATACGACGGCACGGTGTATGTGGCAGACTCATCAACGCAGTCTTCCACCGAGGACAGACAACGGTGTCTGGGCCACCAGCTGCGCAAGCTGTACAACATCGAGGCAGACCACGTTGTGCACCTCAGGGATGTGCCACAGCAGCAAGACGGCGTGTCGTGTGGCCTGTTTGCGCTGGCTTACGCCACACTGCCGGCTGCTGGCCTGCATCCGCTCGACTTGAACTGCGTCAGCATGACGGCACACCAGCTGCGCACGTGGTACTTTCAGTGCATGGCTGATCAGGAGGCAGATGGTGCGGAGGCGCTGCTCATGAAGTTGCTACAAGGGGCACAACCTAATGACAAAAACAACGACGACAACGACGACAACAACAACAACAACAACAACAACAACAACAACAACAACAACAACAACAACAACAACAACAACAACAACAACAACAAAGACGACGACGACAACAGCCTTGAGTCGCGACTCCACCAGCGACGCTGCCTTTTTGTCTTGCAGAGGCAGCGGGCCCTCCACTTGCAGCCGACAAGAGAAGAGGATCGAATGGCCTTCTCTGCCACAGTGGCCGAGGTGGTTGTGGTGCATGACAGGAGCGATGGTGTGGAGGAGGAAAAGGACGTGGTGGTGATTGAGGGTGCTGCGTTCGAAGAGGGTTTCGATGGCGGAGATGTGATCGACTTGTACGGAGACAGTTGTGATGACATGGGCGAGCCGCAGCAGCCACACTGGCCACAACAACAACTTCTGCAACAACAACAACAACAACAACAACAACAACAACAACAACAACAACAACAACAACAACAACAACAACAACAACAACAACAACAACTACTACAGCAGCCACACTTGCAACAGCAGTTGCAGTTGCTGCCACAAGTGCACCATACCGTCGCTCAGCATGGGCTGCTGAACAATCAGGTCCCGCATTATACCCAGCAACAACAGGCACAGCAACAGCACAACTGCCAGCAGATCCAGCAACTGCAGCACTCGGCATCGTGGCAGATTGCGCTGCACCATGCACGAGGCGCCAAGAACAGACGCAGTCGGAGACGACGACGCCAACAGCGCAGACGCAACGCGCAGAGCACATCAACGTCGTCCGCCTCCATGCCCTGGAATGCGCAGTGTGGTCCCACCACTCCGGTCGCCGTGATGGAGAATTGGCGCATCCCGTCACGCGGTTCTCGCAGCACGTGGAAGATACACTCATGTGTGTGTGTGTGTGTGTGTGTGTGTGTGTGTGTATGTATGTGTGCGTGCGTGCGTGCGTGTGTGCGTGCATGTGTGTGCGTGCATGTGTTTGTTTGTTTGTGTGTTTGCTTGTGTGCGCGTGTGATTGCGTGCACTTGATCCTATGGTCATGTTGTGTTCCAGAGGGTCACACGACGTGTGTCTTTGTCTGCTTCCACAGCCACTACATCCAGGAGAAACCAGCTTCCGCGTGTTGGAGTACACGCCACCACAGCCGTCACACGTGCACGCTGGGGCCAAACAAGCGTAATGAAACAAATTGACAATGGTGCGCGATCAGTTGGCCTGACGCACCGCGTGGTACATTCACATGACGTCAAGCAACTGCAACGATCTCGTTCACCCTTCCACGCATTGATATGGCAATTATCAGTCATTTTCAATCGTATCAAGCCCACAAATCTCAATGTCGAAGTTGTATGTGAGGCAGACGTGCAACACCAGCTGGGGAACAGATGGACAGTGCAAGGATTGATGGAAACTCAGTGACAACGAACAAGGTAAGGCGAGGGCGGGAGCCATTGAGTTCGTGTGCAAGAAGACAACAACAGAAAGGGCTTGACGAGAAATCACTGAACGGGCTGTATGGCGCTTTCTTGAGCAAGTGTCATGTCCTTGTCTTCCTCCTGAATCAAATTGACTGGCACAAAGTCAGGCAAGCCCGTGGCTTGCGTGTTGGTGAGGAGGAGGGAGGCATCCGCCCTTTCAAAGGCACTTCCCTCCTGTTCAGCAAAATGCGTAAACCAGGTGGAAAGCTCAATGTGTTGGCACTGGTGTGCTACGGTTACCAGCGTGCAATCGTTGGCCCGAAGACGGTGGGTTGGGCCTTGTGACAGCCCAATGACGTGCACATTCGCAGGGAGTTCTGCTCCGAGATCAGAGCGAAACTTTTGAGCGAACGTTCCCCCAAAACATTGTGCAAACACGACAATTATTTTGAAGTCATCCTTAATCAGGGGCTGCAGATGTTTCTTCAGTCCAGAAAAGCTGTTCCTGCCGTTCCAGAGGCTGTTGGGGCTCCAAAGAAGGTATTGAGGAGCCATACCCCACAACTTGGACAATGGATATCCGCGAAAGCTGTCCGTGGAAAGACCATGGCAGCATGCCGCAATGACAATCGGCTTCGAAGAGTCAAACTTCTTGTCGCGGAAGTCCTTTTGCCACCGACTCACTGTCCTAGCCAGCTCTGCCTCCAGCTCTGGCAGGCTGCCGCCGCGCCAGAAACCGTGGTTTGGCTCGAAGCAATCCTTCATGGAGACATGCAGTGGGATGGTGTAGCGGTCGACCACCTCCTGCGGTTCAGGACTGAACTGGAAGTACAGCGGCAACTGTGGGCTTGACATCGTTCTTGTCTGCTTCTGCTTCCTGCTTTGTGAGACGCGAAGTGATGGTGAAAATGGTGATGTGACATGATGGAGACATGTTTCGTTTGAAGGATTGTTGTGCTGACCCGATGCGCTCTGCGTGAGTCGTACGCAAAACCGGTGGAACAAGCAAACAGTGCCCACTTTCCCGACCGTACAGTCGTCCAGTCGACAAATCTATCTCGGATTCTGAAACCCCCAAACACCGAACAATCACGAAATACACCCATTTCCCGAATTGTTGACTGCAATTCCAGAAATCCACACACAGTTGAGTTGCATTTCCTGTTGGGGAAGGGGGCACACACCCTCGCGATTTTTTTTCGGGTGCTGCTTGCAGCTCAAAAATATCCGTGTACATTCATTCGCCAGTGTCAAAAACAAACCATTTTCGTACGCAAACACTCGCGTTCACCACAGCGAGCCATGGACTTGACTGAGAAGCTCCAGAAGAGAAAACTGCAGCGCCACCATGGGGACGCTGAGGCGAGGGAAATCCAAGCAGCCCAATCCCAACCCCCCGATGAAGAAGAGTACTGGAAAACACATGGTATGCAAGCCGACCAAGGCCCACCAGCTGTTTCGTTCAAACTTTCCAAAAAAGCAAAAGTGAACAGCGAAGGAAAGAAATCACGTTGGACTCGCTATACGTATGCGATTGACAAGCAGCCACACGGGGATGTTTCTCTGAATTACGCATCGTCAGGACATGTGCCGGACAGCGTGGAAGAGCTTCTCGATCACATCCACGCGTCTGCCACAACGAACTGCCTGCTCACCTGTTTTCAGACGCAATCTCAGCTCATCCTAGAGGCCTTCCAGAGCATCGTGAAGGCAGATAAAGCACAATGGCAAGATCTGGTGGATCAGCACAACAAGGCAACCCTTGATGGTGGCGACGCGGATGACGCCATCTGTTGGCCATTCGTGGAATCCGCGAAGGATTACCACTGGGCATATCGTCGCGGCCGATTCTGGATCGAGCAAGCAGGATCTGAGGGACCCCTGCTCATTTGGGAAGCAGACAATGAAGAAGTTGCACAGGACCCAGAACCTTTGTTGAAGGACGTGGCGTCTCGTGGGGATGGTTCCCGGTATCCAACCCACTTCAAGTTCAAAATCAAGCGTTGACTGCGTTGAAATCGTCCACTGACGCCACGTTGCGTTTGGCTTTACATGCGACCACCTCACAGGCCCGGCTCTAAACGTCCTTCACGCCGACTCTGAAACACACATTCTGGCCATGCACTGCACTTGTGCTCTTTGTTTGGTTGCCACTTGAAAAGGAAGGTTCCCACTTACCTTTCTCGATCTTGTTCGTTCCGTTGAGTTGTGAATCATCAATAGACCTGACGACATGTCACATACTCCTCGTCATGACACCGATCAGTTGCTTGTCAGGAGCAACTGAAGGAAAGCAATCACAGTTAACTCTTCGTAGCATGTAGCTCCGAAGTTGGAACTTAGGATTGTATTGATTTGTTTGAAACATTCATTGATGAACCGGAATGAGAAAGACATGCTGATGACAAGCGAAATGAGACATGACATGTGAGAGAGAGTGCGAATTGCCATGGAGATAGGTGTGTGTTTTCAGACCGTCGGCAACTACCATGTCGTGTGAGTTGGTGACACCGTTGTTAAGTTGTTCCGAACACCACCATAGCTGTAGTGGTTCTACTCAAGCACTCTCTACTTCCGAACCACCACTACTCTACATACACACACATACACAACACCAACCACCCTTGCTCTTGCACTTGCCGACTGTCTGTGTTCACTTACTATTGCTGTATCGAGTCCACTCCAATGCACATCTCCTACACTTGGAAGACAACAGAGCACAACGTTGATGACAGCCATGAGTTTCTGTTGTTTGATTGTTTCTTCACCTTTTTTTGGCTTTTGTTTCACCTCTCACATCACTTGTTGATTCACACGAAGACTTCAACATTGGTGTTGTGTGACCTTACCTGCGTGTTTGACAGTTTGTACTTCTGCCTGTCTCTCAAGAATACAACCTCCAGAGGCACATCGAGTCAAGTCAACTGCCCTTCCAACACCTGCACAATCGACCCCACCTCTCGCTTGCGGTGAATTCGCAGAGCCTGATTCGCTAGATATCCAGGTGTCTCTTTGCTTTCATCTTGCCGTTTGCTTCTTGTTGCGCATATTGATTGTGGCAACTATGGTCCCGCTGAGGCACATCGAATACAGTTTCAACATGTAATGGAGGTCAACGAACAATGGGCAACATGCGGCAAAGAGGCAAGGCATAGAATCGGGGAAACTACAGGAATGTATGCAAAACAACGTGCGCGATGGTGCGAAAGGCACAATAACGAACGAATTCGAATGATCTTCTTCAACCCCCTTTCCACCACACACCAAAACAACCAACACCCAGCACACACACACACGCACACCACACGCTTAAGGTTTCTGAGGAATCATTGTCACGTAACCGTCCTCTGACACAATGACAATGAGAACTTGCTGCTTGTTGCGCTTCGCTTGATCATAGTACCTCCACCCACTGTTGAATCTTGCACCGCGACTGCTGTCACCATTGCGGGACACGGGCCCTGCAGTCATGATTATGCAATGCAAGGAATGAGTGATTTATGGATCTGGAAGGAAGTAGAAGGCGCTGTGCTTATCAGCGAATTCATGTCACACCAAGGTCCAAGCAGAATGAAACTCACATCAAGCTACATCTCACCGTCAAGGATGACTCCAATGGCGTGACACTTCCCTTTCCGGTCTAGAAGTACCGCCCCGTCAATACTGGTGACAGCAAGGACCAGCCCTTCATCCAGTAACCTTGAATTCAGCAAACAAGGACGTGAGCTGCTATCAAACGGCAACCAAATTGTAAGTATTCGAAGCAAACTCATTGCCACCTCCCTCCCTACCTTGGCTGTTTGAGTTTGGTCGACTGGGAGGATAAGCGGTTGGCTTCTGCTTCAGCGGCGTTGCTGATGACAACCATGGTTCCATGTTTTTGTCTCAGTGCGTGTCCAATAACTGTCCAGATGGCGTGTGAATGGGCGCGATTCCCGAAAGTGTGTTGGATAGCAGCATTGACATCAGCTTGTCCCAGGCGCTCCTTGGGTAGAGAAACGCCTCCTGAAGCCGAGACAGTGTAGAATGTTGTAAACTCCTCAGGGCCTCTGCCAGAACTGATCTTGAGCTCCCAACACAGTGGTTTTGTAAACATTACCACAACTTTGTCTCGCTTAATCTCAGCCAAGCGGCAGAGCCCAACAACTTTGCGAGACGTGTCTAGGATAAGAGCGTGGCCATCGGGAGAAGTCATCTCAAGAAGTTTGCGGGTCCCTTTGATGTCGTCGATGTTGACGGGGTTTCGAAAAGAGAGAGCGACATGGGCTGGGTCGATGGCGGCAGCAGGGACAATCGCCCCTGTCAAACCGTCGCCCTCATAGGCAGTAGCACTGAGGATGACAAGCTCTCTGAATACATTCTTGAGCATCTCGCCTTCCGCAAGCTTGGCCTGGCATGCTCGACGGCGAACTGCAGTGTTATTGCCATTGAAATGTGTCATCGGTTGCTGGAGCTCGAGCTTAAGCTGCTCCTTGTTCTTCACGGTGCGATGCAATACAACTACAGTGAGGAATGCCGTGTGTTGGCAACGCACATCTCGGAAGGCGAAAAAGCATCGAAAGCGTCCATTTTTCCATTTCAGGTTGTTGAGAATGGTCATAAGATGCTCGCCGGGGTCCTCCTCACCATCCTGAGATAGTTGCAGGTCTTGCATTTCTGGCGCGTCCACCTCGTCGTCTTCACAGGCATCATTGTCTTTGCCGACGCACTGGCTACCACCTGAGTTCTTTCTTGCTTCTGTCAGTCGCAGGTCGTATCGTTCTCCTTTCGGCTTCTTCGGTGGGAATTGACCCTCGTCGTGCTCAACATCATCAAAATCTTCCTCGTCGTCATCATTAGGTGCTGGACTGTGCTGACTATTGTCGGTATCATTCTCAGCTTCACCACTCTCTTGGCTGGAAGATGTGGATTTTAGGGTTTTGGCATCATCGAGCACATCTTGAGATGAAGGCTGATCAACGTCATCTGCGTCCTCGTCGCTGGGTGCCGGCACGTAATCTTCTCCTTGATCTTGAGACTCGTTGCTTTCTTGGCTGCCACGCGTCTCCACTTCCTCTGGAAAACGTTGTTTGTGCACGAAATGTGCCATGCTCTGCACCTTTTGGGTGAAGTCTCCTGGCAGAACTTCGAGCGAGCCGCAGTGGAACTGTCCATTGTTTCGCTCAAAATCGAAGTTGGGGACAGTCAAGGTTTCTTCGGTGATCGTGAGTGAAATCACAGCGCATATCTCCTTGTCTCTCAGTTCGATTCCATGGTCATGAAGCAACTTGCGAACTAGGTCATGAGCTTCTTGACGAATGCTTTTCACGCTCGTCATGTTGCGGCGTTTCTTGAGCTGAGCAGGGTGGGATTTGTGGTTCTGACACGGGGGTTGTGCTGAATCGCGTTGAAGTGTGTGGTGTGTGGGTGTGTGTGTGAACTAGTGAACTGGTGAACTGGTGAATGAGTGTGCGTGTGTGTGTGTGCGTGTGTGTGTTTGCTTGTTTGTGTTCGTGTGTGTGAAAATATGTCCGTGCGGACAGTCATTTTGGGGTGAGGCAGCCACCCTCTTTTGGACACTCATTGATTGACAGAGCTTACATTACCGGTCACCGGATTCTCTGCAAAGCAAATCATCGCAGGGCAATTGCAAGCGTGGAAGGAAAGTGTTTGCGCAGAAGGAAACAAAGCCAGCTCAAACTGGGAATCCTTTCCTTCCCTGGTGTATTGTTTGTTTTTCTGACTCTTGTTTTTCTTGTGTGTGTGTTATGCTTTTTCTTCCACTGCCTTCCTTCCCTTCTCCTTCCTTTGGTGTCACATCAACATGCCGCGACGCTCTCCTTCTCTCCCATCTGCTGCTGCTGCTGCTGTTCGCCCTCATCATCGCTGGGCGCTGTGCTCGCTGTTGCCACCACTGTTGCTGTTGTTGTTGTTGGCAGGCTTGTCGGTGACTCATGTCCATGGCAGCATGGCTGCTTGAAGGATGCTGTGAGTGTGAGAGAGAGTGTGTGTGAGTGTGTGAGTGTGTGTGTGTGTGTGTGTGTGTGTCTGTGTCGAGCTTCTTGCTCTTGTTGCCCTCGCGTCTTGCTTCTTTGTCACAACGTGCCTTCTGCTCTGTTCACGGTTGCACTTGCAGCTGCCACCGACTCACACCACCACACCACCACATCTCCATCTCGCCACGTCCGTTCCACAACACCAAGGACCGCACGCTGTCCCCCTCCGTGGACACAACATTGAGGCACCTGGAAACAACGCTCAAAGAGCATCGCGTGCCGTTCGCCACTGGACAGTTGCGTCCACGAACCACTTCTTCCACCACGATTGACCTGTCATCGATCCAACGCATGATGAACGCCTTTGGGTGCAACAGCAACGGTGTCGAGGAGAGAAATGGGGTAACTCAACACCCATCAACGGCAGCCCATCTCAACCAGACACGACATGCACTGCCCTCCTCAAGAGCGCACAACTGCACCCCTCATGCACACGCGTGCGACGCGCTGATAGCGACGAACAGCGTGCTGGCCAGTGTACCCTGCAAAGCATCACTGATGGCTCGTGCGCTGGAGCCTTGGAGCTGACACCCATGGTGCACTGTTCCTCTCGGTTTCTGGCCACGAAGCACGTGGGTGAAGAATTGACGCTGGTGAGCACATGACGCGACAGAAGCGTTGAGACAACGACTGTGTGGGATCTGAAGCTGCGATTGCTGCGCGATGTTCTGATGTTGTGAGTTGCCTGAGTGGCATCGCCTTTATTCACAGCCTCGACCAGATGCACCGGTGAGTGGAATGATAGTGTGTATGTGTGTGCGTGTGTGTGTGTGTATGTGTGTGTGTGTGTGTGTGTGTGTGCCTGCAGCCGCGTGTTTGTTGCTCACCCCTTCATCTCCACCCACCCATCCACCATCCACTTTACAGGGGATCTGAAGAGCGGCAACGTGCTGGTGTCATCATCGCTTCGCGCCAAGATTACGGACTTTGGGTCCATTTGCCAGTGCTTCACGCGTGACAGAAACCAGCAGCAGCGCACAAGTCTCTCCTCAACTGCAAGCGATGACCCTCAGTACAGCCAGCAAGCTGGACTGCAAACGATGACGAGCACGACGCTGACGGCTGGCGTGGGGACATCGCTGTACATGGCGCCAGAGGCACTGACGGGCGACAAGTACAGCTTTGAAACCGACATCTTCAGCTTTGGCGTGCTGATGTGGGAGGTGGCGACGCAGCGACCACCTGATCTGATCGAGCAGGAGAAGGGCAGCGGGTATCGTGGCCCAATCCTCGCCACCATCAGCAACCTGATGAAGGATGGGAAGCGGCTGCGATTTGATGATGGTGAAGAAGATGGTGAGTTGTGTGTGTGTGCAGGTGTGTGTGTGTGTGTGTGTGTGTGTGTGTGTGTGTGTGTGTGTGTGTGTGTGTGTGTGTGTGTGTGTGTGTGTGTGTGTGTGTGCGTGCGTGTTGTGTGCATGTGTGCTCGTTTAGATTGCGTGACCACGCGTCCATCTCTCTCTCTCTCTCTGTCTCTATCTCACACAAACACACACACACACATGCACACGCCTTTCAGCCATCCCCGAGTGGTTCCAGTCGCTGACGTACAAGTGCATGGCGCAGGACCCGCGTGAGCGTCCATCATTTGGAGACCTCAAGGACCACCACTTTGCTTGATTGCACGTGTGTGTGTGTGTGCACTCGCTTGCTCGTTTTGTGTACGAAGCTGTGAACGTGTCTTCAGCATGCATGTATTGCGGGGGTTGGAACGACGCAAAGTGCAAGCAATAAACCAACACCAACGCAAAGACAAACCAACAAAACACACCATCAACTTGAAGTCATGTCACATTTCATTCGATGATGGTCGGCAGCGTGGCTCTGCACGTGCTGTACTGCATCTCCTTCTTCAGCGCATGCAGCACACCCTCCCGCTGCACGCTGCAGCCACCATTTGAAAAAAGCGTCGCACATCCACCTCCTCCTCCTCCGCCAGCCACGTAGCAGCTGGAAGTCAAGGTCTGCGCGGTCCAACGTGAGCGCAATCAGCAGGTTCAGCACCATGGAGAGGACGCACAGGACGCACAGCAGCCAGCACCACCACTGTAGTCGCCGTCAAAGGTATCCACAGGTCAAAGTCCACCAGCAGCAGCAGCAGCAGCACGTTGTTGAACACGAGCAGCAAGGCCGTTGCCCGACAATGTGTTGTCGTTGAGCAGCAGCAACAGCCGGAACGACGTCCACCCAGCCAAATTGCTGATGCCGAGGACGAGCAGAGCAAGGAAGTGGCGCATGTCGAAGCAGATCGGCCAGGATTATGCCCTGGCTGGAACGGGTGCAGGTGGTACAGCAGAGGAAAGGAACGTATGTGCGTGGTGGGAAGGGTGCGTGGTGGGAAGGGTGCGTGCTGAGAAGGGTGCGTGCTGGCAAGAGTACGTGCCACGCACCGCAAACACCAGCACCACATTCATCACTTCCAACCAACCGAGACTGCCGCACCTCCTGCACCATGTCACAATCAGCCAGCACACCCAGCACCAGCATGATCACCACCGACTCGTTGTTGTCACCAACTCCCAGCAGCAACTGGGCCGCGTCCTTGCCACTAACGAGGGCGACGGTGAGCATGTACCACGCCGCCTCCCACAGGAACTGCTGCTGACGCGAACGATGAAGCTGCCAAACAGCTCCGCATCACCCTTGTCCACCAGTGTCGTCATTCACAAAACCAGGCGCACATGCCAAGTGGCATCACGCGCGCCCCAGCGTCCTCAGCTCATCAGACAACTTCAGCAGGTTGTGCCAAAACGCGCGGCTGCTCATCTCGCTGATGAATGTCGTGTCTGACTCAGTGAGACAATCATGCTCGCTGCTGGTGGTCGAACTGCTTGTCGGCGGTGGACGTCGCAAGCGCAAGCCCACTTGGAAACGTGCACACCAGCAGAATGATGGCTGCCACGAGTGTGTGCGTCACGCGCAGTGACCAGGGCTTCCCTGCCAGGGCGTGTTGCCCTCCATGATGGCGTCACACCTCGTCCACGATGCACTGCTCTGTGTTGCAGTCAAGCTAGGGCACACTGGTGGTGCTGAAGATGGCACAGACTGCTGGTGCGTGGCTGACCTTGCTGGCCGGAAACGACAACAGAGGCAGCGGCGTGTCTGTCCGTGCATCCTGAACGGCGGCGCTAACGGTGGCAGGGAACATGCGCACGGCTCGCTGCAGCTTAGCAACACTGCTCAAGTCAATTGGACACGTGCGACTGGGAGCTCAGGGCACAGCCTCGACGTGGCGGGTGACAAGGGGAACGGCTCCAGGCATCGCGCCTTGATGGCCAACAGGGCGGATTGCGACGGCCTTTGTGTTGGCCATGTTGAAGCTGAGCACACAATACGCAGCCGGCACCGCGAAGCTCGGCCATACAGGAGCACGTGCTTTGCGTCGCGTGCGCAAGTGGCTGATTCAAAGCTGTACTGGCCGGCGTTGTGCTGTGTGAGGGCTGCCAGCCTCGCATGCTCTACAGCACAACGGCAACACATGTCATGTTCCACTGCTCCAGGATGGATGCAATCAGGACATGCTCACCATCGCAGGGCTGGTACACACCCCCGCTGTTGCCTCTGATCGATTGTGCTGGCCACCAAACGGGGACTTCAAGGCCACACGACAAGGGCTTGTGCACGTTCCAAACAATTTGCGCCACCGTACCCGGCAGCGAGCACGAGCGCCCTGTTGCAAGAGGGCTGTGTGGATCAGGGACACGCGCAGCGACGTGGAGGAGGAGGAGGTCAGGCTGAACACCACCCAAAACACAGGCCTCCGGCACAAGCAGGTGCTGCTCTCTGCTCGCAGACACGCTGATGGTGCCGATGAAGCCATGGCCCTCGCCAAAATGATGCCACAGGCGCACAGGAGAAGGTGACGAAGTGGCGGCTGTTGCGATGGATTGGATCTCCGAGACGTGGGCGCTGGTGATTTGGAGGATCGCGTGCACTCCGTCGTTGGCGTCGCTGGAGAGGTGGCCACTCGCCACGACCAGTGGATGGCCGCAGCTGCAAAGCCGCGAAGCCAAAAACGTCAGCGGAGTTGCTCAAAGAGACAACAGCAGCGCACGCGTCGCAGCATCCACCACCTGCACCACACGGCCCAGATGAACCTTGCAGTGGAGGAGGCGCACGGTCGCGCGCGATAGGTGCATGGCCAGAAAACACCTCCAGCAAGCAGGTTGTCCTTGATCATCAGAACGACGTCCGCGGACTCAATGTTGATGCCGTCGCCAACTATTGCCACCGCCTCGCCCTTTCGCCTCCATCTCCTGCACGCTGCTGCGAACACGCCGTCGATGCCAATCTCCGCCCCCAATGGACCGCGCAGTGCCCTCCCTGTCGCCCGTGAGCATGGCCACGGTCGGGCCGTGCTGGTGTACGCAGCAGGCGCAGCATCTCTCTTCGCCTTTGGGCTTGCACGTGTCAGCGAGACCTCACATAGCCCAGGCAGAAGGTTGTCGTCTGCCGAGCACGCAACAACCGTGTAGCCACGCGTCTCGTCGTCTTCGTGCATCGTCTGCCGCTATTTGCCGCTGATGGCGTTGGATTGCCAACACCACAACGTGCATGGCAATGGCAATGGGCATGCCAATGACAATGGGCATGCTGTCTACGGTTGCTGAGATGCCCCGACCAGAAAATGTCTTGAAGTCTGTCGCGAGAGACAGCGCCGCCGTGCGCCACAATCGCCTGGCCCAGGGCATGTTCGCTGTCTGCCTCTGCAGCCGTCACCAGCTTCGACGGGGTGCCGTCCTCCGTCTACGTGTCGTCATCACCGAGCACGCGCGCGAGTTTTGGCGATCCAACCGTCAGCGTGCGCGTCTTGTCAAACACGGCCTGTGAGGAGGGGGAGTTGAGTGGGTGTGTGAGAGAGAGTGTGTGTATGTGTGTGTGTGAAGGTGAGCGTGGGCATGGAGGTGTGAGTGAGTGTGTGTGTGAGTGTTCTCTAACCACGACACGCGAGCACCAGTACGAAGCACCACACACACGCACACACACACCGAACGTGGGCTCCAATGTGTCAGCGACACCCGAGGTTAGCAGCGCAACCGACACACCAACAGCAGCACGATGCCTGACACAAAGCGCGCCGCCAGCTTGTCTGGGAAAGAACACGGACGGAAAGGAAAGGAGAGATTGTGCGGGTATGTGTGTGAGTGGGAATGTCTGCAGAAACATTGACAGGCACGTGTGAAACGGTGGTGTAGCGTGTCGTATCCCGTACACACACACACACACACACCCATGCTGGATGGGCGCCTTTGACAGCTGTGCATTCTCGTTGTCAACATGCGTGGCCTCAAAGACCATTTACCATGGTGCCGCCCATATGACAATGTCATCAACGCCTTTGGAGACGAGACAGGATTTGATTCGCCCCGTGATCATGGCCTCGTCCATTTGACCTGCACCCTCCAGCACGCGTGCATCTAATCCACAGGCACTTTGTCACCAGCAACCATCTGCCACCACCTGCAACCAAGAACGTGCGGAAGGGTGAGCGAGATGCAACGACAGTGCATTATCTGGCGGCTGCCACAATCTCAGCTGAGGGTTGCAACAACTGCCACATTGCTGCTGCTGCACCCACAACCAACCACCCGCCCATCACCCGCCACCACATGTTACGCACCACCACTAGCTCCAACTCCCAAACCCCTCATCACGCACCTGCAGTTTGTCGCCGCGCTGCACGAGCTCGATGTCAATCCGCTCCTCCACGCGGTTGCATTGACTATATCTTCCTTCAGCAGGCTGGAGGTGTTGCCTTTGGCGAGGTGTTCGATGTACCGCCCGGGCGACACAAAGGTGAAGAGGGAAAATGCCGGTCTCCAAAGAAGAGGTCGCCACCACCACCACCAGTCAGAGTACTCGTGGGAGGCCGGTGCAACAATGAGGACGACCAGGGAGCACAGGTACGCAGCCCTGAGGTGGAATTGCACCAACGCAAGCGCAAGTGTGGGTGGATCAGCAACACGTGTGCACGCATGCAAACGTGAGCAAAGAAGGCACGTACAGCGCTCTCTCATTCACTGCAGTGGTGGATGTGAAGAGAAAACGCGAAAGTGGTCGCAACACATCACACACACACACACATGCACACACACAGACACACACACACACGCACACACACATACCACATTCATGTTGACAGCGCCGTGCATGGTGGACTGCGCCGCGGAGACGAGAAACGGCCGACCGGGAAATGAAGGAGATCAGGCCCAGCAGCGTGAGAATGAGGATATGCGTTGCGACATGCCGTCGATCATGCGCGCATCCCAGGAGTCCGGCCGCACGCAGCCACGATGATGGACGCGACGAAGAAACACGGTGGCACACACGATGAAGGTGATGGGGCAGAAGCGGATCTCGCTCCTGTGGGTGGTGATTCGTGTTCCAGCTCCGCCGCGTACCCCAGCATCCTTCAGCGCGCTGCGGTCACAAATGGGTGTTGTGTGAAGTGCATGACACAAGGCATTCTTGTGAGCAAGTGGTGGTGGCAAGAAGGCGTTGCAGCAAGGACAGACACAGAGTCAGTTGGAGGGATTCGGTTGGAGGGGAGCAGAGAAGAAGCAAGACGAAGCGACATGTACAAGTGCAAATACACACACACACACACACACACACACACATGATTATGTTGCGTGGCCCCGTTGCATAGGTCTCGTGCTTGACTTCCACATGGCACGACGCACCATCAACATGCACCATTTGAACACCAGGCAGGGTCCTCAGCGTCGCCTGTCGTGCGTGTCCAACAACAACGACAGCGGCAGCAGGAGGGTGAGACGTTGAAGTGGAAAGCAGACATGCGTGCATACAAGCCACCGTGCGTGCATGCAAGCAAAAGAGACAAGCAGAGATGCAGTGCTGCACACATCACATACCTCATGCTGACGTACGTGGTGTCTTTTTGATGTGTGCGTTTCCTCGCGGGCCTTTGTATCCGCCGACCTTGCCGATGCTGGCGATGATGCCTGCAGGGCTTCACCGGCGCGGTGCCAGCGAGCAGGCTCACACGGCACAATGCTGTGCACACCGGGGCACGCACGAAGCGCACGACATGCCTGTAGTGCAGCGCAACGGTAGATGCAGTGTGTACCAGCGAGAATTATGTGTGGAAGTGAGGAGGTGCCGAAGTGAGGGGGCACCCCACGACACGAACACACACACACACACACACACACACACACACACACACACACACACACACACACAGACACAGACACACAGGCACAGCACACACACACACACACACACACACACACACACACATAAATGCACACGCAAGCGCATGCACGCACCCCAGAGGCATGGGAAGCTGCTGCTGTGCTGGGGTGGGGTGATGGCTTCCGAAGAGTGTCGGCAACAGCATCTTGGTGGTTGTCGGAGGGCGCCGATTCCCCGTTCTCAGGTGTGCTCGAAACTGAAGCGGAGGTCGTGCATGCCTCGTCAACCAGCCTGCTGCTCTTCACGCTGCTGTGGCAGTGAGACGATTTCAACGGAGTACCCGTCCGTCGCGTGCAATGTCTGCCAGCTCGCCTGACGACACCTCTGCAAGATGTTCGACAGCAACCGTTTTGTGTTCGATCATGGGTGTGGTCTTGATCACCGTTGGCCCGACACACTGCTGCTGTCGCATACGATGGCCGCCTTGCCCTGGGCACACAATCCACATGCCACGGTGGACTTTGCCTGAGGAGACGCCATGGCTGTTGTTGTTGTGGTGGTGGTGGTGGAGTCGAGTGGCCACATGCAGCAGCAGCAGCAGGTTCACGTTGTTCTTCTGCTCCTCCATCCACCGTCTGGCAGCTGGCTCACACTCAACATCACGCATGCTTGCACCTGTCCTGGTGAAGGAGGAGCACGCCGTGTTAGTGGAGAGGAGGCGTTGCGCATGCATGCTGGTGCCAACCAGACGGAGGGAGGAAGGGCACACACTCCTCATGATACCGGCAGTGGTGGCTGGGGAGTGTCTGGGACAGAGAGGGACCGCTGCATCACACACGTACATCAGGTGCACCTGTGTGCGTCCTTGGCTGTGGGGACACTGCGTTCACAGGGGAAAGAGGCAGGGTGGACAAGATGGTGGTGGGAGGAGGAGGAGAGCGTCACGATGTCAGACATGATGTCAGAAGCGAGAGGAGGAAAGGTGCACCAGCACAAGCTGGGGGTGATGGAAGAGAGGAAGACGGACATGAGCACGTGTCATATGAAGCAATGTGTGGAGTATGTGTGCGTATGTGTTTACGTGTGTTGCGCAGATAAGGCTGAGCAATGCAATGCAACGAAATGGAGTGATCTCACACTCACCTTTGTGTGAGCAGTGCATTCTTCAGTCACGATGCCTGTCTCCTTGACATGAGGTCAATTCACGCCCTCCTTTTGCACTGCGTGATGAAGCTGTGGTGGGGGTGCAGCACAGCAAGACACCGACATCGCGTGCCGTGTGTGCTCTGTCCTTGTTGGTGCAGTGATGAGCTGATGAAGGCAAGGAAGGATGTTGGATGGAAGGCTGTCTCAAGGGATGGATGCGTTTCAACGTGCTGCCTTCCACAACACTTTTCTATCTATCTAAGCGGCGCCTGCTCTCACACACATTCGCCCATGCACACCGCTGCCCTCTGTTTTACCCCTTCCCCATCTCTGAGCGCTGGGAACAGTGTAAGATTTCAGCGAGTTTTCCAATAAAAAGACAACAAACACAACACACCACAACAGCGAACTTGCTTGTTGTGTGTGGCTGGAAATCCAATGCACGATTCCCAACAATCGTCCACAACCACAACCAGCCAAAACGCCACAAACAATCCACCAATCCTGTCTTCTCTTCTCTTCTTCTCTTGGTGCTGCGCCTGCCCTGCAAACAGACACACGCGAACGAGGAAGGAGGGAGGCACACTTCTCTTCTCCTTCTCTCCTTCTTCTCCTCTCCTCTTCTCTCCTTGTCTTCTCTCTTCTTCTCTGCTTGTATGGTGAGAACGACGGGGTGCCTGCAGGCACGTGGGATGTTGCTGCTTCCCGTGCTGGTGGCGGTTGCAGTGTGCTGGATGCCGTTCATCAGCAGCGTTGTTGGAGAGGTGACGCTGTTGGAGGATGATGCGGGCGCGCTTCACATCAACACGAGCGACCCCATGAGCCAGCCCGTGTTTGTGAACGGGGTGAACGTGCACGACACGCTCAGCATGTTGATGAGCACCGTGTCGGCGCAGCAGAGCACAATCGATCGCGTCTATGGAAAAGTGTGCACCCCGAGTGCCAGAACGTTCGGCAAACTTGAGACGTCAGGAAACAAATGGATTGGCGGGGTACTGGCCAACAACGGCCTAATCTATGCTGTGCCATTCTTCGCGTCCTCCGTGCTCATCATTGACCCCAGCTCTAACACCGTCGACACGACCACTATCGCTGAGTTTGCTAGAGGCGGAGGCAAATGGGCCGGTGCAGCTTTGTCACACAACGGTCTCATCTACATGTTCCCGTCAAACACGCAGGCGATCCTCACCATCGACCCAGTCACCAACACAGTTGACACCACGACGTTGGATGATTTGCCACCTTCCAGAAACAAATGGTACAGCGGATTGGCAGCAAACAATGGCCTCATCTTCGGCATTCCTTTGTACTCCACATCTGTGTTGATTGTGGATGCGATGACCAACACCACCGACATCACCACGTTGTCAGGGCTTTCCTCGGAGGGTAACAAATGGTACGGTGGCGTCCAGGCAGACAACGGCTTCATCTACTGCATTCCGTTGCGGGAAACATCGGTCCTCATCATCAACCCTGTCTCTCTCACGATGGACCTCACGACCCTCTTCGGCTTGGACTCGGGCGCTGTTTGGCATGGGGCTGTCCTTGCGAACAATGGTCTCATTTACACTTTCCCTGGTTTTACAAAGAAGGCGCTCGTCATTGATCCAGCCTCAAACACAATCAGCCCCCTGGTTGTGGCCAGCCCAACTTCTTCAGTCAAGTGGCTTGGTGGCGTGCTCGCACCCAATGGCAACATCATTGGCATTCCATTTGGCTCACCAAATGTCTTCATCTTCGATCCAACTACCAACACCACTGACACAACAAGCATCGGTGGACTTGCTGGTACCCAAAAGTGGTATGATGGCGTGCTCGCACCAAACGGCCTCATCTATGGCATCCCAGACTTCGCAGATACCGTCCTTGTCATCGACCCTGGCTGCTAATTGCGTCTGTATGTCATCACACTAACCCTCCCCCTCCCTCTCTTCGTGTGCGTGCGTTTGTGCGTGCACCAACACCTTATCCCCGAACTACACAATGCATTAGTTTAGCCTTCCCCACTTCAAACTAAAACGTTCTCCTGCTTCTGTATTGCTCGCTCAACGTCTTTATGCGCATACACGCACACACACGCACATTATGCATAACATGTGCACGCATGTGTTCACAGCTCCCACCACTTCTTGTTCTTCATCTGCTCCATCAGTTGCCTGTGCAAACGAACGAAGTTGCGAGTGAGTGCGTGACGCTGTCACAAACGCACCACAGTCCCAACACACACACACACACACAAGTATGATGTGTTGACTGACTTTGTTGCGTTCTGGTTGCGCTCTGGAAGTTTGCTGCGTCGTCGGCCATCTCCTTTGCGCGCTCCTCCGCTCGCCGCAACTTCTCCTCGCGCTCACGAGACGGTGAGGGGGTGGTGATGGTGAGCGAAAGGGCGCACGGACATACGTGTGAGATCTTTGTCCACAAATACGGCCCGCAAATACGCACACACACACACACACACACACACACACACAATACATACACAAGCAAACACGAACCATGAGCATCTCCGAGAAGCCGCCCTGCGCCTCTGATGCGTGTGTCGTCCGCGTGGCGAGATGTGTCGAGTCACGCTTGTCCACGCACTTTCCAACTGCAATCATGGATGCAACAAACGCGACCGCGCACAGTGAACCCGTGGTCGAACATGAACAGAGCCCATGAAAACAAGCAATCAGACACGACCGAGCAAACAAGCACACGTACACACACACACACACACACTCTCTCTCTCTCTCAGCGCACGTACGGAGCTCGTTGCGTTCGTCAATGGTGATGGACGACTTTGGCGTTGACTTTGACTTTGTCAAGCTGGCGAAGAAAGAGCGCTTCTGCTGCGAATGCTGCGGCCGCTGCACCGGCAGCGTCGGGTCATACACCCTGCGCATTGGCACGATGGGCGGAGGAGGGGATACAAGGGGTGAAAGCGTGAGTGGGGTTGGTGATTTGAGCACAAGAAGGAAAACGCTAAGGAATGGAGACAAACACACCCCCCCCCACACACACACACACACGCACGCAAACGTACCTGCTGGGTGCTCTGTTGCCATCCTCGCCATCACCGCCACTCGTCGTTGCATCACCCAGGTCTCCCTTTGCCACCGTCCCTCCCGCTGTCGATGTTGCAGTCGTGGTGGTGGCGGCGGCGGTGGTCGTCGTTGTGGTTGTTGATGATGTTGTCGCTGATGATGAGGATGGTGAGCTGTCATCTCGCGGAACAACCACGCGATGCTGCAACCCCATGCTCCGTGTCGGGCACAGCACCAGCCCGTTGGTGCCCATGGCGACGTTGTGCAAGAACCTGAAGGGACATGGAGGGGCAGGAAAGGGATAGCCGGTGGTGTGGTTTGAATGTTGGAGAAAATGAGTGCAACGTGTGACGATGAGCAAGCAACGAGGACC